AGCTCATAGATTCAGAGACTTAGCTTGAAAATGCTGATGACTTAGATAAATTATAAATATGATGGTAATTATCAAGATTATGATAACGTGTATTACACTAAAAAAATTCAATACTAATGTATCTAATATTGAATTTCACACATTTAAAATTTAATAAAAAAATGAGATCCCCCTTAAACAGGCGACACCCATATTAAGGAATAGACACAACCTTAATTTCTCAGCATTAAGACAATATTGCCCTTAATTTTAAATTATAATTTTATTATGCTCAACCCATAGATAATAAATTTAGTACTTGATAAACAAAAATTTATTTTTAATTTTCATATTAATCTTCCCTAAACAATTGTGTCTCTCCTGATGGCACTACATTAAATCTGGTATTCAGCTAACTCTGATGGTTTGAGGTTTTTAAACATAACAATTTATAGCTGAATTAGATGTTAATAGTACTACTATTCTTTCTTTTAATACTATAATAAATTTTTTATTATGTTTGAGAATTCAATAATGATAAATTCGTTAAGTATTTAATTTTTTAGCATATCATAAAACAGAAATCAATTATTTGGCTTAAATTTTAGCAATTAGTTATGTAATTGAATTGTATCAGATTAATTGAGTGAAAACTACCTCTTCATTGATTAGAAAAATGGCTTTTTTTTTAAAGCACTGTATACAAACAAGTGTGACTTGGTCGAAGAAATAACCAATAACATAATAAAATTGTTTTAAGGTAACAACAACTTAATATGTCGATAACAATAATGCAATCATAATAATGATTCAATAAAAGTCAATTAAGAAAAAAAATATTATGATAAACCATTTTTTTTATATTAATTTGAATAACTCATAAAAGAACTATTTTTATTTCGTACACTGAATAACCTAATGTTTTGTTATCCCAATATATTAGATATAAAAAATTATTCGTAATTGTTCCATAAATGCTTGTTGTGATGCAATTCAGTTATTAAATAATTTTGAGCTTTCCCTAGCCAAAGTCTTTTAAGAAATAAATATGAGTTTTATGCCTTACAACAATTTACTAAGTTCTCTTATCTTTAATAATTGGAAATAGAAACATATCATCATTTAAATTTTCTTAATTTAATTCTATCGTTTATTCGGACTTTTCTTGGAAACATCCATTTTTCCTTTCAAAAACAAAGATTTTATCAGCTTCCTAAGTAGCTGTAACCCAAATAAAATTATTTTCAGATAAAAATAAAAGCTTTTTTCCACTATAATGTTGTGATTGCCCCTACTTAACACGTTATTTAAATTTCATTTTTTTATCCTGTCCATTTTCCCAAACAATAATTTCAGATTTCAATTTAGAGCAAGATACTAAAAGAGTTTCTGATTAATTCAATGACATTGAGAGTACAGAACATTTATGTTTACCTAATTAATATAACTAAATTAACTCATTCATTTCTAAGTTTACTTTCCAAACTATAATTTAGTGATCATTCCCACCTGAAAACAATTAGTCCTCCTTTGAATTTAATAACAAACTATAAACTTTATGTTTTTTAAAAGGTTTTGAAGAGGTCCACAAATTATTCTATAGTTTCCAAATTCTTATTGTTTCATCATCTGATCCTGAAAAAAATGCCTCCTTTGATTTGCTATAAACTATGCAATTAACCCAATCCTCATGCCCACCCAAGTTTTGGAGCAGATTAATTTTACCCTTATCAAAACTCCCAGCTTATATATTGATGCCTTTTGTAGATACCATTATTGAATCAGAAGAATTAAATGCTAAATTCAAACAAGCATCATTTTGGGGCACTTATTAACGCTTTATCAATTCGATTTAAGAATCTAACTTTGGTATTTGTGTTTCCTTCATCATTTAGGTAAGTAGCCTTGAAAATTTTTGCTGATCATTTTAATAAACGAAATTGTACTCTTTGAAACGATTGCAAAGCTTGGTTATATATATGTAGTTGTTAGAAGTAAATAGCTTTTCAAATAATGTCGTTTATTTTGTTTCCAAATATTATAATTCTTGCAATATATAGGAATTTTTATTCATATGTTATAAAGATTCATTCCAACTTTCGAGATTTATTATAATAAGATCAAAAACTGTTAGAAATTATGATCTAAAGTCTTTTGCTGAATTTATTAATTAAGATAGTTTCTATACTTGTTAATCAATCTTTGTTTCCACCAAGCTTAATTTGTCTTCAACTTTCTAAATCGCTTCTTCCAATGTTAGGGTTTTACAATTTTATCTTCTTTCTCTTGCTTAGCATTCCTGGCATAATAATGATAGCTGAGGATCATAAATAGCATATTAAGCTAACCCATCATTATTAATACAACTGAAATTTGGATCCGCTAATGATTAGTTCATAATAAATAATTTTATTTTCAAGATAAATAATATACAAATTCATTAATTTTCCATTTTATTTATTGAATTATGAACTTCTTTGGATTTGAAAATCCCTAACCGAATTTAAATTGATTAAATCAATAAATACTAATATCATGATTAATTAATCTAGTATTATATTAAATTGATAAAATGTGATGTAGTTTGAATTATAAAATAAAGTTCAAATAGTTTTTTATTTAATTGAATAAAGTATCAATTCATCCCAATGCATCTTTACTTTAAAGAACTTAATTTTCAACGATCCTGATGACGATCCATATATGGATAATTTTCTGGAGCTTAAAACTATGATATCTATGGTGGTAAAAGAGCGCATTTATCAGTCTTCATTAGGTAATTTACATATTTAAATTTAAAATTGATTAGTTCTTCAAGTGAAGTAGTTTATCATTATCTATTCGATATTGATGCTTGCCCTATTTTAAGTATTCCTCAATTCAAAGTTGCAAATATGATGAAGCAATATTTAGTTTTATATAAATTATAAATGCTCAGTTTCATCAATAGTAATTTCTGTATATTTTGCATTTCTTTTTAAATTTCATTTTTAAGAATTTTTTTTTATTTTTGCTAACCCAATTCTAAACTTAATGCTATAAATTTAGAACAAGTCATTTAGATTAATTGTAATTTCCTAAAGCTTGAATAATGCTTGTAAATAAATTCAAAAAAATCAAAGAAATCTTCCAAAATTACATAGAAGACTCATTTCAATTTTGACTAATAGATTTTTTTTGATTTTATTTTTTATAATAAAAATTAAGATAATCACTCCTTCTTTGCTATAAGGTTAGTGTCTGTTCTGGCGCTCACTGTCTTAAACTTTTCCATTTTAAAGGGTTCTTTCTTTTCTATTCCTTTAATCACTGCTAGTTTTTTGTGATTGATTTCATGAAATAATTATGATGCTTTATTTGGTTTGACAATTGTGCTAGTCATTCTAGATTCCTACAAGTTAAAAAGGGATAGGATATACTTGTGAGCCAGCTCTTTTGTAATATTTATCCAATGTAATTGATGCAGCTTCTATTCCATAAGAGTTACCCATTACTAATTTCATAGGAGTAGATGGCCTATGCAATGTTTATAGTTAATAAAATTAACCTATTTTTTCTTCCATATCTAAATTCTTCCTCAGGTAATTCAATAGCTTAAATATTAGTGCCTTTTTTAACTTGTAATCGAGCATCATGAGTTTATCTAAATTTATACATATCCTTAAAGAAATATCAATTAAGTTACATGAGCAGTGAGAGATCCATTGAAAACAGACATCTTATTAAGTTAGGCAAAATCTCGATTTGGAATTCGATTCAAAGATTCTAGGTGAAATTTCCAAGTCATTGTTACTAATAAATACTTTATATGTATATAATTACCTTCTTTTGCTCCTTCTTTATCTCTGATAAGTGGAAGGCCATAAACAAAATCTTATTTTGGTAAATTGTATGTTGAGGGTTTTGGTTTTCCAACATCATCTTTCATTAGCACTGGGTTTGAATAATTATGAGAAAAGGGAGGAGTTGTATACATTATTAATAAAAATATGAATTTATTAAATTATGACTTTATCGCCAAAGAAAATTTGAAGTTTTTAAAAACATACAAATACAAAGGCACAGATCAATCGTTGCTGTATAACTATGTCCTCTCACCATTTGCTAATTGGTGTTTGAAGTATGTGCCTTTAAATGTGGCGTAAAAGAATATTCTTAAAAAAAAAGTCCTAATACACTAACCCTGTTGGGACTCATTTGCATCATAATTTGCCACATATTATTTTATTTTGTGATGGGAGACAACTTTTAAGGAACAATACCGGATTGGTTATTGTGGACAACGTTCATTTTACACATGATCTATATGGTAATTATAATTTACCTAAATTAGAATTTTGATAATTTGGATGGAAAGCAAGCAAGAAGAACAAGTATTTTAGTTAATTAATTGCAATAATAGACAATTCCTCTCCTTTGGGCATGATTTTGGATCATAACTTTGATTCTATGATTATTGCAATCTAAGGTAGTAAATGGTCGTAATTTAGGTACAAATTTCGTCACATGTCTATAATGTGGACAATCATTATTGGCATTCTTATTAATATGTGTTCCAACTTATCCATTCTATATCATAGCACATGAAGAATATTACACGCACGAAATGAATCTACCGATAATTAATGCAGCTGCAGAAGGCACTGTTTTTGTAGGATCATTATTTGCCATAAATGCAATTTTTGGTACTTTTGAATTTTATTTGTTTAGGTTGTGATTTTTGGACATAGAAAATGCCATAATTTTATAATTTATAATTCAATACAGTGGCAATAATCCTATTCTTTTTTGTTGTGGCCTTTGGACTACCTTATGTGTAAAAAAAAATTCAAATTTATTTATTAAGGTTCAAGAAAATTACAAAATTTGTCCCACTCTCCCAAGCCTTAAAATCTCAGAGGTATATGCTATTCATCGGCCTGGTCTTATATTATGTTATCCTCTTTTCTCCAAGTGATGTTGGTTCTAGACACATGAGAGCAATTCTCTATATTTTTGGTTTCACCATGAGCAAAGCAGTGGTATCTGATCTTTTTATTCAAGGGTATTGTGGCTGTATATCATGTCAGCAATTAAGATTTGCCTAATTGTTTGAATTCTATTTATCTCTTCTTAATATTGCTGTTCAATACGATATATGGACAAGTTTTTGGAAAATGCTTAATTGAGGAGGGATTGTTATTATAAATAACAGCTGTGATATCTGTACTTGTACACATCCATTTCTTGTACAATATAACTAGATAAATTAGCGAAGCTTTGAAAATTAAAGTATTTAAAATCAATAAATGATTAAATTTATAAATGGATATTAATATAGGAGAAACACTCTTCATTATTGTTGGAGCTGCCATTTCGATTTCAGTTGGTGAATTGGTCTCTTGGTTTCTCGTATATCGAAATGCAGATTACAAGGACCTTGTGTCTAGAATTGAGACTGCAGTAACGAAGTATAATAAAGAGAAAGAGTCATTTGTGAAGTAATTCCCATCCATTTCTATTTATCAGAGAAACTAATGCCAAAAATCAAGAAAAGAGGCTAGCACAAATCGAATCACAAATTAAAGGATTAAATTATGAAATGACATTCAAAAAGATGATATCCAATGCAGCAGTAGCAATACTCTCTATTGTCACGATTAATTCAATTGGTAATTATTATTCAGGGATTGTTGTGGCCAAATTGGCATTTGAACCATTTTGGATTTTATAACAAATTACTCATAGAGGACTTAATGGGGAGGATTTAACAGATTGTTCCTATATATTCATTTATATTTTATCGGCACTCATTTTTAAATCTAATATACAAAAAATATTCGGTATCCATATATGTTATCACATTTAGGTTTGGAAGGACCTAAAATGCCATTTGGTCCTGGAGGTCCTCAACCTAGTTTGTTCAAATAGTGAAATAGATGCATTACAATATTATTAATTAACTTTATTTAATTGTTGCTACTATTCTATCAGCGCTCTCTAAATTGAATATTTTTATTATTTAATAATCCAATCAAAACTACAACGATTGATGAGCAAAGAAGAGTATTAAAAATAAGAAGACGCTCCTGATGCCAATGCTTAACCAACTTTGGGATAAGTTTAGTAGCAAATAAAGAGGAAAAATAAAAAGAGAGCAATTTTAAACCCATAATAGAGTACGGGACATTGGAGTGAAGAAGAACATAAAACATACATCAATTTTCTCAATGTACATCGATCAGTCATGGAATCCTCAGACTAAAAAAAAACCTCTAAAATATTTAAACTCATGAGTGAAACAATTGGAACAAGAAGTCCTTCATAATGTAGGTATAATTAATTTTGCATATTGCGAGATCTCACCATCAAAAATTTAATCCTTTCTCTCATCAAGTAAAAAAGAGGTAAAAAGGAGCTGGCCGCAAGAAAAAAGAAAGTAACTCTTAGGTAGATAAAAATAACAATGGATTCATGGAAAATGCTTGCTTTCCTTAATTTATGTTTTAACCTTCTGCTACCTATTTCCCATAATAACCTTTTGTAAATATTAAAAAATGAGATTATAGGATTTTCAGATGATGCAACTCCAATAGGTTCCTCTAATGATGCAATATTTGGATCAAAACAATAAAGACGATGAAAAATTGGTTTTATAAGATCCATCTGTTTGTTTTCATCAATTTATTATGAATCCTCAACAAATATATGATGAGAAGAACTAATTTTACAATTTTGGTTTTCCACACCCTTAACAAATGCAATTTAACTTTAATTACTTTTAACAATTGCCAAATGAATTTTATGGTGCCAACTCAGCTGAAATTATCCAAAAAGATAATTAATCAGAAGAACAATGATTTAATTAGATATATATAGTTATATTTTGATTCAGAGAGTCTTTGAAAACTTCCACAAATATTCTTCAAATAAGAGTTGCGGTAGCTGGAAGATCAAACAGAGATAATTCAATAAACTAATTCAATATTCGATCGTAAATTTGGATAATTGTGAAAGCATAAGGCATCTCGATCTATGTTATTCCAAAATTAATTTTTCTATTTAATGATATTAAATTTTTGTATTATTTATTTAGTTATTTTTGACTTTGCTTTTAGTAAGATCTAGTTTTTGCTACATTACTTTATAATATAGAGCAAGGTTTGAGTTTGTCCACCTTTTTCTTAAGCTCAAATTGATTAAGCAACATATATATGATGGAAGTAATAAAACATTAGAACGTAAAAATTATATCAGCCATTCTCCATTTACATGAAGTTTGCATTATATTTATCAAAATTCTTTCAGTAGAGCTTCTTAATATTAGCCTTTTTTTAACTATAAATCTAATTGTACTATATAATCTAAAAGAATGTGAAAAAATTAAATTGCCTGCTTTTTGAACTTAAGGCTATACTTTATATTAAGTGTGTTCTACTTGCATTTTTCACTCCTTTTTTAGAACATTTCACACAACTTCCAATTCTTTATTTTCAGTCGAATGCAGTTGGATTATAATTTTCACTTTAGAATATATAGAAGTTAAATAATTAGAAGGAAATTCGGAGTTTAAAGGATAAACCTATTTTAATAAATATTTGACTGTAAAAAGTTAATAAATACCTATCCATACTTTGAATAGATGATTAGGGAATTGCTATATTAGTAATCTTATTCAAAACAAGTAGTACGTTCAAAAAGAATTTTTAATTTTTTA